ATTTAGCTCCTTCGTTTTAGCTTGAAATGGCAGAATTTACATCAAAGAATGGATTCGGGAAGCGAGGAAAGTAGTGGCAGAACATGAATTTGATTTTATTTGTGCGATCTGTTGTCTATTGTGGAAAAATAGGAATGATGTTAAGCATCAATATTGGAGAACAAGAGAAGCAATGGACCTGGTTCTTGGTGCAAAAGATTGCCAAACAATGTTGATTGATCCTCAGGAAACTTTTCCATTGTAAAGTTCGACAATTCCAAAGTGATGGATTCCCCATAACGCATGCGACGTGAAAGTAAATGTGGATGGTGCAGTATTTGCAGAGTGGAAAGCAATTGGCAATGGGGGTAATAGTGTGAGATGCTAATCGTTTTTCTATGCAGGATTGTCAAAGTTAGTTCGCGTACATGGGAATGCAGAGTATGCATAGTTTTCAGGCTATGGTGGAAGCTACACAGTTTGTATGCGACATAGGATTTAGAAAGATTGAATTTGAAGGTGCCGTTGAGCGAGTTGTTTGAGCTATTCGGGCTGAGTCCATGATGTTTTCGCCTTTTGGTCACATGATCGAGGACATGCGGATGACGTGTAGCTCATTAGATTTTTGGAATGCTTTAGTTATTCGTGGAAATGGTGCTGCACATATCTTAGCGCGGAAGGCTGTACATCTCGAAAGCTTCCAAGTATGCTTTGAAGACCCTCCAGATTTTTTGCAAAAAGTATTATCAAAGGATAAAAAGGAGGAAGAAAGTTTGCTTTAGCTGCATTGGTTGTTTCTTGTTTTGAATTTATTTTATTAGTAATGTAATTTGTAACAATAAAAAAAAGGATCTTGTTTACCACTTTGGTATTTAAAAATGCTCTCGCGTCTTTTTTGGTACTTAAAGTGTGTAAAAATGACAATTATGTACAAAAGCTCGTCCGCGTTAATTTCTTTTGACGGTAACTATTGAGAAAATTTCTTCCACCCAGCCCCTGAGAGCAAGTGCAGCAAGCTCCCAGTTGGGAGTCCTAGTCAGCAAGCTCTCAAGCATTTTAGAATAAAAAATTAACAAATTAAGCCTTGAGAGGCACTTCTTCTTTTATGGAGCTCCAACAAGCTCCTGGTTAGGAGCTCCAACAATATCAAAAACCTCTATTCTATCAAAAAACCCTATTAAAAAAACCCCTCTTCTATCAAAAAACCCCTCTTCTATTGCAAAGGTACAAAAACAAGGAGTTTTTTGTTAAATTTTTTTTTAATAGCTTGGGAGCTCCGTGGCACAAAGCCCTAGGCTTTGTGCCACGGAAGCTCTCAGAGCTCCCTTAGGAGCTTGCTGGAGCAAGTCCAGCAAGCTCCCACCGCCACCTCAGCCTTAGGAGATGGGGTGGGAGCTTGCTGCACTTGCCCTGACCTCTTAAATTTATTGTAATTTACGCCATTTTTCTCCTTCAGCCAAAATTTTCTGCCCTTTTACCCAATAAAACTCTCTCTCTCTCTCTCTCTCTCTCTCTCTCTCTAATCCCTCTTCTAACCTCTCCCAATTCAAACCCAAATCCTAACCCAAAATTCAAATCCAAGCCAAAATTCAAATCCAAACCCTAATCCGAATAAGGGGTTGATCATTTAGATTGGAGTTTGGGTTTGAATAAGGGGATGTTGAAGGAGTAGAAGAAGGGGGCTTTATTGATGAGAAAGAAAGAGAAGGTGAAGAAGGATTGGATGAATAAATTTAAGTTGAATGAGCAGAAGGGGGCTTTATTGATGAAAAAGAAAGAGAGGGTGAAGAAGGATTGGATGAATAATAGGTAGAATAAATTGAAGGAGAAGAAGAGTGTAAAATACAATATGTTTAAGAAGTCAGGGGCTGGAAAAAACACTTCTCGCCAGAAAAATGAATACTGATGAGTTTTTTTAACCATATTGCCATTTGTACACACTTTAAATATTTAAAGGATGCCGGAGCGTTTTTAGATACTAGCGCTTATGCACGTGCAATGCACGTGGTTAGATGTCAAAACTATTTTTTTAAATTTATTTTCTTACTATAAAATAAGTCAGATTTATTTTGAATTAAATTTTATAAATATGGATTATTATTTTTGGCATAAATTTTATTTAAACATTTAAAAAATGAAATAGTTTTGTGTGTAAAACATGGATCAATATATTTTTATATACTTCCATACACAACATTATTTTTTTAAAATTTGTATATATCAAACTTCATGTAGCATATTTATTTATCGGATTAAATCATCGATGTCCAATTTGTTTATCCTAGTTATTAAATATAGTGTTAAGTTTGAAAAAAAATACAATAATATATTGTTGATGTGTTAATAAAAATATAACCAAATACTTAATATTAAGATGACTTGTATAAGCTCAGCACAGAGCAAATACTTTTCACAAAACTGGAAGACATCTTAATTATTAATAAACTTAAAATAAAAAAATAAATACTAAAGATTAATGGTGACTCTAGTATAATTTTATATAATAAAATCATTTACATAAGCATATTAAAAATTTTGCATGAAAATCCCTTTTAAAGTTCCTAATTTTACTCAAAAATTAAGTTTTACTATAAAATATTCAAAAAAATATTATCCTTTATTCGTTCTTTATTCATAATTCATTGAGTTAAGATCAATCATTCTTCATCTTTAAGCGTATTAAAAAGTTTGCATGAAAATCTCTTTTAAAGGTTCCTAATTTTACTCAAAAATTAAGTTTTACTATAAAATATTTAAAAAATATTATCCTTTATTCGTTCTTTATTCATATTTAATTGAGTTGAGATCAATCATTCTCCATCTTTAGCTTTTTCTTGGGCAATTTTATGGTAGTGCCTTCATCATCTACATCAATTGTGATATCATGTTGGTATATAATAAAGAGCTAAAGATAAGACACGAGTCTAGAAATATATTAAGATATATTTGGATCAATCAAATTATATTATTACTCATAATTGATATGCATCAGAGACAAAATGTGTTGACAATCTTAAATACAAACAACCCTCAAGATATGCATCAGAGACTATTTGGGCCCTCTAACATAACTATTTTAATACAAGCAACTCTCAAGATTAATTTTGAAAATCTCTTGGTGCCAGAATAAACACTAACAAGTTTGCAGTGGAAGATAGGGGAATGTAATACATTCTTAAGAATTATAAATCTTTACTTAATTTGTTTATAATGACAGGATCTCATTATTAACTAACTACAAGGCTTAGTACATTATTTTTTTAGTGGGCGTTCAAAGTAGACAGAGGACCCATGTTAGTCCTCATCACAATGAATGTTATACAATCTAAGTACAAAGGAAAAAAAAAGGGTTGATCAATGGTGTAGTTTGTGAGGGAAAAACTCCAACAGCTTAATTTAGGTATATGGATATATTATAGATGGAATTGAGAAGGGTGGTTTTGAAAACAGTGGTGTCTAGGGGTAATTAATATGATTTTTGTTTGTATGGTTTTCTTCATTCATTTTTGAGATATCTGTGGTCTTATGGATATATATAGCTATAGCATTGCTATTCTCTTTTAGTTTTGTGGAAGGGTTTGAGCATTAAAAAAAAATTATCTAATCCGGTTAAAATAGGATCATATAAGTTAAGCCTATACATAAAATTGATTTTAACCAACACATATATGTAAGTATTACAATTGGCATTAAGATCTAAGATACGTGTAAGATTCTCTTTGACTTTTATACAAACAATATCTATCTAAATAATAATAGTATAATTAAACTTTGTGATCTGAAAAAAAAATCAAATATACAATATAATTAATTACTTTAAAATAATCTAATCTAATGTCTTCTAATAAGAAGAAAATAAATGAAAGTGATGTGAAAATTGTTACAAATTCATAATTCATAATTTTTAAACAATCTAATATTATCTAATAAGAAGAAAATAACAAAGGCACATATATGTTGAAGGAGATGAAAGTGCTATGAAAAATTATTATAATTTCCGATCTTGAAAAAGATCAAACATATAATATAGTTAATTACTATAAAATAATCTAATCTAATAAAGAGAAAATAGATGAAAATGTTGCGAAAATTGTTGCTATTTTATAATTCATAATATTTAAACAATCTAATCGAATCTAATAAGAAAAAAATAACAAAGGCACATACCTATAGAAGGAGATGAAAGTACTATGAAAATTATTGTAATTTCTTGGCTTATATATATTGGTATGCGATGTTGCATGTGAGAAGATAACATTGTAAATAGAGTTTTATTTAAATAATAATAGTATAATTAAATTTTAAAACTAATTATGCAGTACTATGAACTACTTGAATTTTAGTCGGTGAGAGATCGTCACATTGTGTCCTTAGATCGTAGCGGTTTATTTTAATTTTTCTTTTTTATAATTTTGAGAATGACTTTTGTCTCTTTAATTTCTTTGATGGATTTTACAAATATCTCGTCCACACTATGTACATTTGTAGGTCTGTGCTATTTTTAGATTCGACCTTTAGGGCAGACATTATTTATTTCGTTAATTTGTTTAGTTTTTGCATATACACCCTATACATTTGTAAATTTGATATTCAATAATTTCATTAAGGTTTACATTTCAATTTAAACTATATCCTTATCTTCATACTGTGTATATCCAATAAGAAATCGTCAATTTATCAACTTACTATTACTTAATGGAAGGGTATTTTTGTCTACCGAAAGATTTTCCCAAACTCGTGCTTTTAAAGGGAGTATGATCAAAGTGGTAAACATAGTCTACTTTAAATACCAATTTGATAGTTTAGCCTAGATTCTTTTGTTTGGCTCTTTGAGTTGAAAATTGTTGCCAATAAGCCGACGATAATTCATCCAACGAAATTTATATCTTTGATTTTCATTTATTGGAACGTTCCGCCAACTAAATGCCATTTAAATCCATCATTCAAGCACATTCATCCATTACTACTGATTTAACCAAAAAAAGAGAACATATATGCAAAATAAAATTATAGGCATTAATATACAACACCATAAGGCTTTTCCCCAAAATTTCTTGGTTCAGCAACTCAGCCGAACAAAATTAATAAATAGAATACAAAAAGATAAAACACTACGCATCACCAATAATCTCCGCATGAGCATTCTCCACCCTCAAACTGATGAAACCTCGCTCTATCCCGTACTACAATCACTCTATTGTAAGCCTTTGATATAAACTTAGCCACCGTATGACAATCCCCACAAATCCTAAGATTTTTTATCACGTGTATTGGTGCACAATCTTTTGTACTAATTAACCCAAAAGCAATAGCAAGCTTCTCACTGTGATGATACAACGCATTCTCCTTCTCCTCCTCCCCTATGTCATGCAACACATTACTCACATCCGGTACATATCCTAGCCCTTTGATTCTTGACCCGATTTCGTCCAATTTTCGGTATATCGCCTCCCATCGCTCGTGCCCCTTATCGCCGTTGAGGAACTTGTGCGCAACGCCTTCGATCTCAGTGTAACTGAACCCTGGCGTCTTCCTGACATCGTTCCTGACCATCTCATCTCTGACCCTGTCAACGTCTGACCACCGTTCTTTTGCTGCGTAAACGTTGGACAAGAGCACGTAATCTCCGTCTCCGTTTGATCCCATGTCACGGAGCTTATTAGATGCCAGCTCGGCGAGCTCAATGTGGCTGTGGGTCTTGCACGCTCCGAGTAGAGTTTGCCAGAGTACCGCGTCTGGTTCTATACCTGAAGGCATTGACGTTATTACTTCGTGTGCTTCGCATAATCTCCCTGCACGACCCAAAAGGTCGACAATGGTGCCATAATGCTTCACGTTCGGTGCTACCTTCATTGATTTGAAAACACGAAGCCCGTCGTCTACAAGGCCCGCATGATTGCAACCACATAGTACCGCCAAGTAAGTAACCGCGTCAGGCTCGGCAATCCCTGCTCCGAGCATCTCATCGAACAGACGCAACGCTTGCTCTCCGCGCCCGTGCATACCAAAACCCATCAATATCGCATTCCACGAAACAAGCGACTTCTCCGCCATCGACCGGAACACGGCCTCCGCCCCGCTCCACCGACCCGCACTTCGCGTACATGTCGACAACCGCGTTACAAACCCGCGTACCCGAACAAAACCCGTTCTCCCCGCGCAAACGCGACGACCGCCTCCCCTTCGCCCATCATTCCGAGCTGCGCGCACGCGACAGCGCCCCGATGACCGTAATTCGTTCACGTCTCTCTCCCTCGCGCCGGCCCCGTCGACGCCGGCCAACCTCTTGAACGCCGCCAGCGCGTCGGCCGCGCGCGGGTCGCGCCCGCGAACCCGAGAATCAGGGCGTTCCACGTCGCGACGTTCCTTCAGGGCCATTTCGTCGAACACCCGCTCGGCGTAGGTCGAGCGGCCGGCACTTTGGCGTACGAGTCCAGGAGAGTGGTCGCGAGCATGACATCGGCGAGGACGCCGAGCGGGAGGGCTTGGGCGTGGATCTGCGAAAGGAGGGCCGAAGGCGAGAGGGCGGGCGCAGGCCTTGAGGGTGAAGGAGAGGGAGAGGCGTCGGGGCGATCGAGGCGGGAGGAGAGCGGGCGAGGAAGCGGGAGTAGAAGGGGAGGGTCTGGAGGGGTGGGGGAGGCGGCGAGGCCGCGGAGGAGGGAGTTGAAGTCGTTGGTGAGGGGAGGTGGACGGAGGAGAGGAGGGAGAAGGAGTAGGGGAGGGAGGGGAGGGGAGGGAGAGGGAGGAGAGGTCGAGGAGGTGGAAGCGGAGGGGAGGGGAGGCTTGGAAAGAGGTTGGTGGTGAGGAGGTGGGGGGAGTTGTTTTGAGTGGGTGAGGGTGGTGCATTTTTTTGAGGAGGGCTCGAGGCTCGTCGCCATCGACGGACGCAGGTTTGGGCGCGGGTAAATTTTTAACGCCCGACGCTTAACTAAAAGCTTTGTTGTGTTCGCGGGGACTATCTGCGCTCAAATACCGGAAATTATAAATAAGCTCTCAAAATTATATCAAACATCCTTGGAAAACCTTATAAATGGAATTAACATGTAAGGGGTTAAAAAAAAAATCTGAAAGTGTAATCACATGGTTGTGACTGATCTCTCACCATAGAAATTTTGAACAAAATTCTGATCTGTCATGATTTATATTTATTGTTTTATTTGTTAATATCATTGATAAGAATGTTTGATAGTTCTAATAGTTCTAGAGGTTTAGTACAAATTTCTAACGTTGAAGTTGAAGGAGATTATCTAATTTATCGAGTTTAGAGTTGGTGAGGATTTGTGAAATTTTGCTCATTAATGTAGCCGGACCCTGTTAGTAGAGATCCGTTAACCATTTTTTTTTATTTGTAAAACTCAGGAAGATTTTTGTGCAAAACCCTTCACATTTCACGGTGGTTTTGTGAATTTTCTCGAAACAAAAGCACAAGTTATCTGTTAATGTGAAAAATAAAAGGTCTAAATGTAAAGAATTGAGGGATGCAAATAGCAAAAAACTGGGGTCCTATCTCATTTTTGACTATTTATGCAAACCCGACTTAAAAAAAAGACCTCGACTTTGACACAGAGATCAGACCCAAAATCGAGAATGGCGAAGCCACTGGGAGCAACGGGCGAGTTCTTCAAGCGCAGAGACGAGTGGAGGAAGCACCCATCGCTCACCAGCAACCTCCGCCACGCGACGCCCGGCCTCGGCATCGCCCTCGTCGCCTTCGGCATCTACCTCGTCGGCGAGGCCGCCTACAACCGCATCAACCGCTCCGATCCTCACTCCGGTCAATGATCAGCGGAAACCCTAACCAAAGGTCCAATCTTTACCTTCCAATCTCGCAATTTCTGAGATTTTTGTTAAAACCTAGGGTTTGGTGGAGAATTTTGGGATTTGGGCTTGTTGGAAGGTTAGATCACTGAAACAAGAGGGTTTTAGATTGGTTGAAGAATTGGGTGTGCGCTGGATTATTATTTGAACAATTAAAATTTAAGAGACTTATTATGCATCCTCTCTTTGGTGTTTATTGTTTGCGATTGTATCGTCTATTTCAGCATTACTTGATTGATTTCTTGTTGATAGTTGAGCTGTTTATTGTTTGCGATTGTATCGTCTATTTCAGCATTACTTGATTGATTTCTTGTTGATAGTTGAGCTAAGAAGGCTTCTATTTCAGCATTACTTGATTGATTTCTTGTTGATAGTTGAGCTAAGAAGGCTTGGGTTAGGGAGCCTGGTTACTAACATAAAGGGATTTGTGACTTGAGTAATTAAACAAGAGTAATTCGTAGTTACGTGCTAGAGGAAATAGTGGCTAATGCTGCAGAAGAATCATGGGAGGGTGTTTCAATCGTCCACTTCCATATCCTTGCAAGTAGTGATGGTATATTACTCGATTACATTGTGAGGAACAATTGTTGGTGATGTGATGTTCGATGTTAGTCATTTGTAATTTCGTCTTACCGGAGGTGAGCTAAGAACCATGGATTGGCTAGAGTGACAGAAAGGGCACAGCGAAATACTAGCCGATGATGATAGGATATATATCAAATGCTATCATGTTGTATTTGATATCTTTGTTGGATTATGATCGAACTTAAAATACAACTCCGAATGTTAGCAAAATATCATAGATAGATGAACAACATTTTGCTGGTCTCCTCAAATGGTGAAAGCTTGATGATATAGCCTCAAATGATGATAGGATATATCAAATGCTATCATGTTGTATTTGATATCTTTGTTGGATTATGATCAAACTTAAAATACAACTCCGAATGTTAGCAAAATATCATAGATCGAGGAGCAAAATTTTTCTAGTCCCCTCAAATGGTGAAAGCTTGAACAATGAGCTTTTGTTGCTCTTCGAGGAGTGGCCTCTTCCTATTTTTGAGGTAGCATATTTGATTTTGGATACAAAGCATTCTCTCTCGTATGAGAGAGAAAGGAATCAATAGCGGGTATATGTTCCCAGAATGCCCCAGCATTTGCTCCTGTTGGAGCTTCGTGTCTTCCACCTGACGTATTTTTTGCTCGATTCTCTCGAGTATCTCGGCGATATTTATGATTTTTCAAAGTCTTTGTTTCATGCTTCGTTGTTTGGCACTGTCTCCCTTTTAAAAACAGAGATTGAAAGAAACTTATATTTATAGAGGAACCCTTTAACTCTTTCTTATTATTAGCAAGATAGGTTGTCTTGGGCCTCTTGGCTCCATAATATGGATCATTTCAAACTAAAATTATTGAACCAATCCACTAGATTGAAGTGTGCTGCCTCCTACTGGCTTGCATAATTACAGCCTAATGGAATCCGTCCAACACGGTTTGTGAGTTGACTCAGAGGCATACATGGGCAAAGGTCCCCTAATGATTATCATGATTGCATCTTTCACCCTAGGCCCTTTTTTCTGCTATGGGGACTACCAAGTCTTGGCTCATCATTGCATCTTGCAGTCGTCCTAGGCACCAAGTTGAAAATCATGTTGAAGCATGATCAACCATCTCATATAAAATGAGTACCCCTCACTCTTTGGTTTCGACATTCTTGACATGTTTGCAATTGGCTATGACGAGTTGCTAGTTGTGTCCAGGGTCAAAACTAGTATTCTAAAATTATTATTTTCCATTTTCAGAAGGTAGAGTTTCAGAGTGACATCCTTCATGGAGTTAAAAAAGCCCTTTTTGACAAGTGGCAAAGTGAAATAGCCCCTGAATGAGTTGATGCTAAAAATGATCCGGGTGATCTGGCGAATCTAATGAAGATTTATGGATTGTAATTGGAGAGCAAAAGGTATACTCTATTTGTTCAAGCTCAGCTCAGTTCTTTTGGTTGAAGGTTTAGGAGGCTACATATTCTCTAAGAGGAGCATTCCAGGTGTAGGTTGCCTCATGAGGGGCTTGGCTTCTTGTTCTCATTCTGGTGCAATAGATTCTCGCGTTCAAGAGCTTTGATTGGCTGCCTAAATCTTCTTTAGGGGGACCCTTACGACTATCAGTAGTATAATGATATTATGACAATCTTTTTAGGGAGAAAACAATCGAGTCTGGCTTAAGATTTTTCCCGAATGAAGTGAAAATAGGGCCACTGAAACACGCTTTGTGCTCTCATGAAAGACTGTATTATAGGATATATGGATGAATGCTTGATTCATCTCTGACAGGAATATGGTTTACTCGCTCTCTTGGAATGATCCATGTTATGGAACTAAGGTAATTTATCTTATTAATAATAAGAAAGAAAGAGTTAAGAGCCTTACCTATAAGCAGAAGCTTCTTTTAGTCTATTTTCAAAGGGAGATAGGTCTGAACAGTGAAATAAGAAAGAAAGACTTTAAATAGTCATGGATATTACCAGAAGATTTGAGAGAATTGAGCAAGAAATACGTTAAGTGGAAGATGTGAAGCTCCAATGGGAGCAAAAACTAGGTGCGTTCTGGAAACATATGCCCGCTGTTGATCCCTCTCTTATACGGGAGAGATTGTTTTGTATTCAAAATCAGATATGTTCTTTCGAAAATAGGAAGGTGACGCTCATTGAATAGTAGCAAGAGCTCATTACTTGGGTTGTCACCTGCTAGGAGACTAGAAGAATGTTGCTTCTCAATTTATGATGCGGTTTGAAGGAGGAGAAGTAGTGACAAACTTTGTAGTCTAGTCTTTCATTTTCATTCTTTGTTTTGTTTGTGTCGGACCTCTATGCTATTTGTGCTTGTTGTGTGTTTAGTTAGTGCATGTAAAGTTGATGTGGTGTCTCTTTCATTATAGTGGATATCTATAAAAGCATATCTTTATATGATCAACTATACCACCTGCCATGTGAATATCTATCTTGCAATCTATGTGAATATCTATCTTGCAACACAGACTCTATTTACGACTCTATTTGAGATGCAATATCGATATGTCTTGCCCTTCACAAAAGAAGAATGGAATAAAACTCAAAATTTGATGTTCTACAACTCAAATAAGGATGCTTCTTGATTAGTTAGATGGACATTAGGCTAAGGATGCTCCGTTCTGCTACCTTTGCCGTTTCCCATGCCTTTTCCATTATCTGTAGAATATCCCTCAACTGATGATCATATTTCAACGTTTTTCGGAATAAAAAAATCCAACTGGAAAATTTGTCAACACTGTAGGTACTGGCTTACCACAACCAAAAAGTCACCCCTTGCATCTTTTAAACTGCTATCCTTTGACTGCTTGTGTTAAGCAAATCACTTGACTTCTGATTACTCCTTCAAAGCCTTTCTACCTCCCAGCCTTCATGCTAGGCCAAAGCCTGACCGCTATTCCTTACTTTATTTAAGGCTTTTTTATCCTTGTCAATACCTTGCATTTGACACCCCCTAGAGCAGAAGGGGGAGAGTAAATCAATACCAAGGTGCTAAATGCAACTGTTGACGGCAGGTTCTATTGAAAGACGAGCTCCTACTGTTCCAGCTCGGCTTGTGGGCTTTGTTGATGCTATACTGTGACTGGCTTTAGAGTTATGAATGACTCTTTCGGTGAGGCTATGCAAGAAGAGCTTGGTGTCTTTCTGGCTTGCCTATTCCAATTCTCATAAAATCTCTATCTTATTAAATATAGATAGTATAAACTTCATTCAACAATTGAATTGCTTCTCAATTCTTAAATTTAATCATCATGGCCAACTTAATCCACTTAAGCTGAGCTACTATACGTCATGACAAGAAAAATCAATAGTAATTGTACAATTTGAGACTATAAATGTCATAACTATTGTTCTTTTTGTTATGAAATCAGTCTTTCCATCCTAGAGCGAACAGTTGGTATAACAATCTATGACATCTAGCTACTCTTTTGATTTCCTTGGATCATTTTTGAGCAATCAACTGTCAGTTTCACTTTCCATCTTGGTATTTGAAATTTCTTCACAATGTAATTTATTGCTCATTGCCTTTTTATCAAAATGGAATTGTCTTAGCATGCAACTCTGCGTTGAGCCGGCTACATGGAAGATTTGGTGAAATTTAATCAAACCATTTTTACCCAAAAATTTTATGTGTTCTCTCCTTCTTTTTCTCGTTATTTTTCTTCTTTTCCTTTAATATACTTCCTTAAAAATTGTGTTGTGAAGAGAAATGAAATTTTATGTTGCTTCAATTTCATGTGTTGTTCATGGTTAAAGAAGGCTCATTAAGCAGGCAATTGTATATGTAGTATGGTTTTGCTGATACATCTTGTAGATGTGCTAGAGTACGCCATTATGTAGATGCGTAACTAGAAAATTTTATCCTTTTTTCTTGCACTAAGAGTGCATTTATAAGAGCTTAGATATTGCTCCTATTGAAGATAAAAATGAGCGAAAATCGATTGAGATGGTTAGGCCATGTACAACAGAGGCCACAAAATGCATCCACTATGAAAGGTGATAAGATTAGAATAAATGGAGTAAATAGGTCAACCTAAGAGAACATTGTTGGAAGCCATCTAGAGGGGTACAGTGGTGGTTAACTTGATGGAGGAGGTGGTTAAACATATTAAATTGAAGAATAGGTTTCACGTAGCCTACCTTATTTGTGATAAAGCCTTCGCTGCTGTTGTTTATGTGTCATTGTATCTCCTGATAATGTGTGTATTTTTTAATCTTATATTTATCTCATATCATCAAGTCTATACTTTTCTAGACGTCTATAATTATTATATTGTCAATGCGACACTTTGAAACATTATGAAAAGGTTTTATGTCTGAAGGAAATTAGTGGGTTTTTCTTGGCAGGTTTTGCTGAAAGAATTTGTGGACCTTTTCCAGGATTGTTCTTTTTCATGTCGTGGCCTGAGATCGCATATTTCTCAAGACATTTGCTGGTAGAATTTCTTATAGGATGTATGAATGCATTGCCTTCATTATGTTTCTGATAATAATTTCCCAACTAGGGTCATAACACTTCACATGTAGTAATTTACATTCTATTCTGCAAACCTTGACATCCTCAGCATCTATAATATTTTCCTGATCTGTCTTTATCATTAGGATGTCTCACTTTATTGATTGATACACTTGTCAGACAAATTGAAATTTTGCGTTTTATGTTATTATTGTTGTTATTTATAAGACATCCGATCATTCATCATCTTGCTCAACTATGGGTTTTCAAGATTTGGTTGACGCTGCACGTATACTAGTCTATGACCTGAAATCTAAACCTCAGTGATATATTTTCATTTATACTCATTACTGAGATCTGCCATAATTATCATTTATGGATCATACAATATTTGTCCAGTAATTCTTCTGTAGATTTATGCCCTAGTGAGAGTACAGATTTATGCACTAGTGAGAGTACGTGCACTTAAAAGATTTGTAGCCAATTTTCGCATTTATTTGTTCATCCGAACTCATTGTGAATTTGGCATCATAGATTGTTTTCAATCTGCTCAATATGATGTTGTAGCCTACAGTAGTACTTATTTCTAGTAAGCTTCATGAAAGTGTGAGGACTGAAGTCTATAAAAATTGCTCTGTCAACTTTGCCTTCGTAGTAAAGGTTGGCTTTTGAAAAATAGCTTGATGGCATTTTATTTGACGGACCATCCAGTGAATAAATTCACAAAAGAAAGAGAAGAATCTGGATTGAGGGAACATGTACACCGAATAACTCAGAACTGTGAGGAAAATACTACAGTAGTTGTTTGCAATGTAAAGACTTGAAATGTTTTCCTCTTTTTAACTTGAGCTTTGCCAGAATACCTCAGTCACTTTAATAAAGAGTAAAGGTTCTTTTAGAACAACCAATATAATGACCTCTCGAACATCTAACATAGGATATTTAATGGTCTTGATCCATTTTATGAATAACGGACTCAATGCACAAAGGGAAATTTTGTAAAAAATATCGTTTTTACTAAATAATTAGCAAAATCAACCATTTTGTTAATTATTTAGTAAAATCGATATTTTTTTGGTCAACAGATGTTGGCCAAAAAGATGTCGATTTTAAAAAACGCCCAGCTCAGAACATACGGGACTATTAGTCCCGACTAATCCCATACAGGACTACTAGTCCCATATGTTTTAGGTGAACTATATAATGACCTCCATGACCTCTTGAACATCTAACATAGAATGTTTAATGGTCTCGATCCATTTTATGAATAACGGACTCAATGCACAAATCGTCAAATACATTAGTCTATTAGTATATATCCTTTTAATACGCTTCCCCCCAAAAAAAAGAAGAAGAAAAGAAAGCAACGAAGTTACTGAATTATTTATCGACATCAACCGTGAATCAGCCGAGAGTGTAGAAATATCTGGATGAAGTGCGGCGTACACTTTTGTGAAGCTTTATTTCTTCAAAAGAGACGCATTATTAGGTGACGTATAGACAACATTTACCGAATCTTTGGAACATTTTTCATGCTACATTATTTACTGTAGCATTTACTTAGCACGAAAAGTACTTTTTTGGGGTCTTCTTCGAGTATAGAGGAGTAAACGTACACGCAGAGGTGCACAAAAATAACCATACCCCAGTAAACATTCGTATCCAATAAAATTGTGGATATGATTGCTAAAATTTGTATTTAATAGGATATAAATATGGATACAAATATATAATAAAATGTTCATATTTGTATTAAAAATGTCAAAATATATGTTAGTCATCCAAACATCCTGCTTATAACTCTAATTTTTAAAATAGTAAAATTGAGATTAATTTTGATGATGAATCAATCTAATCTCCTCCTCGTCTTATCCAATCTTTTCCATTCCATATAATATTTTCTTTTTCATGTCTAACCTTTTCCATTTTATATCATCTCGTACTTTGATAATCAATCAATCTCTTTTTTTTTTGTGTGTATCCATGTATATCCACTTGTATTTTAATAATCAAGTGATCTCATATCTTTTTTATATATATGCATGTATATCCATTTAATATCTCTACTTGCTCCATATTATCTTGTATTTTGATAATCAAGTAATCTCATATCTTTTTCGTATATGCATGTATACCCATTTAATATGTCCACATGTTCCATTTAAAGGGAGGTGACTATAAATTGATCAAAAGCAAATACTAACATAATGAGCACCATATCATGCTAATTGGTAGGCAGGGGTGGGCGTGGGCGTGGGCCGGTTCATGCCTTGATCCGGGCGAACCTGGCCCGCTCGGATCAAGGTCAGGCCAGGTCCAACTCGGGCATACCCGGGTTAGAATGGGTCGGACCTATTTCTCTGATCCTGGGTTTGGGATTTGAACCCGGCCCGTGTGTTTTTATATTTGTATCTATTAAATTATATTTAAATTATTTTTTTATTTTACTCTTTATTTAAAATAATATATACACATACAGTGACACGCATTGTACAAAAATAAAACATCACAAACACAAAGAAATACGTGGTTCGGAGTTCAATGGAAGACTTACGTCCACAGGAAGTTAATAACTTTCCTTTAGTTTAAATTTAACTTGCAAATATAGAAAGAAAAATGAAAAAAATGTTAAATATTAACATTTAAGGAGCCAAATTCCTCTAAGTTATAATCATCAAATCTTCAAGAAAAGGTCTTGTTTGCTATCATTGTGATAGTTCTTCTGCATTGAGTCAGTCCTTTAAGCGCACACATCTCCACGTGTGCTGAGCAGTAAGTTGTGTTTTCTATTCGTAAATGACTCTCTCACCTACTGAAAAGGCACTTTCTGATGCTATCATGGAAGTAGGAGATGTAAATATATCTCCAACCACCGTAGATAAGGTAGTTGTGGGCCAAGTTGGGTCGACGATAGACCGCGTCAAGGTGAGTCGGGCCGATTTTTTATCCCAAATCTGGAGCTAGACCCAGCCCGACCCATGACTCACATATATCACAGGCCGGGTCAAACCCGGCCCACTACGGGCCAAGCTAGATTGTGACCCATACCGAGCTAGGCCCTGTCGACCCGTGGGTCGGGGTCGATCCGCGCCCAACCCTGTTGGTAAGCAAATACTAACATACTAGGCACAATACCTCAATTGATAAACAATAACTAACATAATAAGTACCATATCTAAATTGTATGGAAACCGTACGCTCCCTTAGTTAACATTAAGGAATGAATACTTAAATTCAACAAACATTAAGAAACATGAAAAAACAAGAAAACATTAAATATTAGGCTTGTGATTGTTACAAGAGAATAATCAGAGCAAAATTCATACTAGTGCAAAATACATGGCACCGTAAGGTATTTATATGCTATTTAGACCATTATTAAATAGACTTTCTAGCCTCTTTTGCATACAAAAGAGAGGTTGTTTGGATAATGTCTTTAACTTTTTCTATAATTTCATGAGAATTAAATAGGGTTCGAGATCTATCATGATTAGAAGATTGTATCTTATCATGATTAGAAATTTAAATCGTATTACAATTAGAAAGTTAAGAAGTTAAGCTAGAGATAGAACTTTGTCAACACGGATTAAGCGATGAAAATTATCCCGAACCCAAAATTGCATACACCAAAACAAAATTTTTTTTTTTTTTAAGGAAAGAAAGAAAATTAGTTTTTTTTTTCTTTTTAAGAAAATTAATTTTTTTTTTCTTTTTAAAGTAAGGAAAAAAAGAAAATTAATTTTTTTTTATATGAGAAGATAAAGAAAAAGAAAAATCCTAACTAAAACAAATCAAGGCAATCACTTTTCAATCAACTCTAACTCTAGGGTTTAGCCTAACTCCACTAGACCAGCTCCTAACCAAAAATTCCTACAGTGAAAAGATCAAAGTTTTACCCAGGTAGTTAGCCAGGTAAGGATAGTACTAGAGGGTGATCAAAGATCAATTAAGTACCTCTTTCCTTGCGGAGCGCTTTACGCAACCCCTAAACCTTGCCTTAGACACCAACTATTCTGAGAAAACTTAAACCGTTCACTTAAGGATTTCTTGTTCCTTATTGAGCTCGAATCCTTAGGGGCCAACGTCTAATGAGTTTTAGAAGGCTTGGGTTTGTGAAGTGAGGAATTAGTGATTTGTGGGCTAAGGAAAGGGTGATGAAATCCCTTACCTTATCTTGATTGGGGTTTTACCCTTAAGAATGATTTAAGTATGTGCCAAATCAAGTGCAACAATCACTTTGGTGAATTCCTACACTATATGAAATGCAACCCTAGAAATTAAAAGCGACTAAAAAGGATGATAAAAAGAAAATCTTTTTTTTTTTAATTATGGTCAACAACAAGCAAATGTGAGAAGATGGTTCATGTTTGAATTTATTACCTTGTTAGTTAATGTCCAAGTGAAAGATGGATTTTATTATGGTCAACAAAAGTGAAATTTTTTTTTTAAATCCTAATTGTCTCTAATTGTGAAGCTAGCTAAAGAGGGTGGAATTGAAAACTAGAAAGAAGACTTACCCGAAAGCAATGCTTCAAATTCTTGATCTTCAATCCAAGATTTTCAAGCTCCAAGCGGTTCCTTCACAAGAAAAATACACAAGTTAAAGAATCAAGTTAATAAAATCCTATTTTAGCACCTTCCCCTCCCTACATATATTCTTCTATTGTTGGAGTAAAAACCAAAAAAAAGGTATAGAGCAAATATTCTTGTATTTTAGGATTAAAGATTAGTAGAGGGCGTATCTTGATTCAAAAATATTATGCAAGTGACGAAGATTTCGTGGTTTTTATCCATACAAAAGACTATAATGTTAGAAAAAAGTTTCACAATCTTTGTCCGTTCAAAAAATTGTAAAGAATGAGTTTTAAAGAGAATATGAAGATTGATTATCTAAGGTTAAGAGATTGAGAGAAAAGAATTGAGTTATTCCTCTTGTAGTTCTTTCTGATACATAATGAATTTCTCGTCTCGTATTGTTATCTTGTGGAGGTAAGTCAAAATTGATCTCACCGATCTCAATGTTCTTTCTTCTTAATTGTGATTTTTTTATACCTTATTGATTGGCGATACTACGATCCCCAAAACATATCTTCAAATGAAGAGATCCAAGTTTTCTGATCAGCACTAGCTACATGCCCACCTCATTCTTTATTTATTCTCTACACAAGACTCCACTACATGCATGACACCTCGCATACTCTCATTCACAGACACACACAAAAACCCCACAGACACACAAAAATCCCTTCATCACTCGACTAAAAGCCACAAACTCAACAGCATTCCTCATAGCTCAGTCTTCTTAGCTTCTCCACCGAGCTTCTCCCTCTCACTCTCCCCTCCTCCAATGCTCACAACCTTCGGACCCTTGATCTGATCAGGAGCCAACTTGGTGAGATTCACGGTGAGAACTCCGTCTACAAGCTTGGCCTCAACCTTGTCGAGGTCCACATTGTCGGGGAGCCTAAACTGTCGCCAGAACTTGCCGTGGCTGCGCTCCACGCAGTGCCAGTGGTCGCCCTTCTTCTCTTCTCCCCTCTTTCTCTCGCCGCTTATTCGAAGGATTCGGTTCTCTTCTACCTCTATTTTAAGCTCGTCCCTCTTCATACCTACACATTTACACATAATATAGAACATCAGACCAAAAGAAAAAAAAAATCGAATATAATCTATACTACTACATTAAAATTGAAGTTTAAAAACTTAGCTAGAGCACCAAAAACCTACAATTTGACGGGCAGAGATCTCACTCACTAAAGAGATGCGAGTAATTTGACCATGTCACATTTTCTCTTATTTTCTTTTCTCCCTCCTTAGATCTAGACCTTTCTAGAAAATATATATACTAGAGCTTACTAATTAGATATATATTATATTGCATATTCCCAAGAATATAAATGTAAAATGATCTAGAATTTTAATATGTTCTAATATAAATATGTCATAACCAATTTTAAATAAGCTAAGATAAAATATCACATATTAAATGAATTAATATCATTAAAAAAATATTACAAACATCCATGGTACTAAGGAGTATTAAAATGACTCTATTTATATAGAAATTATGATAGTTAAGTTTTAAATCCAATTTTAAATTCATATCAAACTAGCGTGAACAACTTACAAAGCACAACCAATTTTTTTCCCGCTACAGTAATCATGTTTTAACTGCTACATTAATTTTTTTTTAAAATGCTACAATATCCCACCTTTGTCACAGTATTCCCGTGAGCTATAGTAATATTTTAAAAAAAAAATCACAGCGTCTAGTTCGTCTAGTTTCATGTTAGCTAGTTCGTCTAGTTTCATATTAGCTACAGTAATAATACTACAGTATTACCACGGTAACACTTACTATAGTACGAATAGTTTAGTACGAATAGTATTTCTTGAGTTCTCTCATTTATATGAGTAGATACATATATATCTAAAGAAAAGATACGGTTTACAAAACTTTAACAGCAATAATCGTAAGGTTTCCCAATTTTGAGATTCCCCAGCTTAATCCTATCTCTTGAGTCTTGACCCATTTCTAATGAGATATTGATACTTACTTTTAGCAATTAACCTAGTAAATAAAATCAATAAAGAATTAATTCCAAGTACCAAATAAAAATTATAGAGTTCGGCATGGGATTAATTAATCCCAATATATTTAACTTACCAGGCACATCAATCACGATCTGATGCCCGGTCGGAGTCTCTTTCCAGTCAACCCTCGCCGGCGACACAGCCACCGCATCGTCACGGTCAAGCCCGAACGGAATCTGCTCCAGTATCCTAAACGGGTCGGGCAACTGATCCGACAACGGGCTCCCTACCCGATCCAGTACTAGCGGCAGCAGAGACCCGTTCGAGGGCCTAACAGCAAACAGCAGAGCAAAACTGAGAGCAAGAAGAACACGAGTATGATAAACCTTCATTGTCGTCGGTTTTGCTCGTCGGAGACCTCCGCGATGGAGCGGAGCGAACTGGGTCGGGTTGTATTTATAGGGTGTTTTGGTGTTGGGGACACGTGGCGTTTAATGAGGACGCGCGAGAACGTTCGAGGTTGGTTGAGGTGGAAGAGGCTTGAGACTTCCAGACGTTTCAAGTTAGATGTCATAATAATATTGTAAGGGGCTGTTTGATTACCATTTTTTTCTCTTGAAAGCTTGCCAAAGTGTTACTTTTTGACAGACTTTCAGCTCAAATCATCTCTAAAAAAAAAATTTGACTGAAAATCTGTTAAAAAATGACATTTTTGATATTTTTGGTAGGCTTTCAAGAGAAACTTTCCCCTTAAAAACAAGGAACCAAACAGCCCCTTTAACCTTGTTTCTTCTTCTTCTTTTTTCTTTTTCTTTTCTCACCCTCTTTTCCTCCCTTTCTTTTTTTTTTGGCGTTAACATTAATGGATGCGGGGATGCTTGCAAAATGATATCTAGCTAGATTATATTAGAAAATCAGAACGGAAAATAGAAAATTGTGAAATCCAAATATGAATAATAATGCGATCCAAGTAATTAAATTTGTTCTCGCATTTTTTATATATAATTGGATTATTAAACTTTTATTTGACAGTTTTCTCTAACCACCGTAGTTAAATGATATAAATAAAGTTTAAGGAGGTTATGTGAAATTAACCCTTCAATACACATAGAGCGATGTAACCTTTCTTTTGATACATTCTCATCCCAACAAAAAAAAAGAAAAAAGAAAAACTTAATTGGTTGATTCTGTGATCAATCTTAAAAGAGAAGAGATCCCTTTTAAGAAAGGGTTAATTTCACAAAACCCCTTAAACTTTGGGTGGTGTTGCTCATAACCCTCCTCCCTCCCAACTTTATTTTTCTCACTGTCCTAAGAGTTTAAAGGGAGTTAAGTGAGGTAAACAAAGTTCAGGAGGATTTTGTGAAATTAATCCTTTTATAAATGTTTGAGAGTTTTTAGTTTCAAAATAGGATAGAAAAGTAAAAAAAATTTAAAATTGGTATTATTTTTAACGTAATTTTTATTTGTAAATTACAAATACATCGAAAAGGTATTAGGTTACCACAACATTTGTTGCCTACTTCATTAAAAATTTTATATGAATCAGTCTTAAATATTTGTATCGATCCAAATATTTGTGCTTCAGAAAAAATCATTCTGAAGATTGTTTCTAGAGAATTTCTCTTTTATTAAACATGAGAGGGAGAGCTCTGAAGAGAGGGTGGAATGAAATTTTAAAATATTTGGAAGAAAATTATTAAAATTAATACTGTGACTAGGGGCGAGCATTAATAGTTTGAACTGATTAAACTAGTTGCGTGAACCGAACGGATTTTGGTGGTTGGTTTAGAAACAATTTAAACCAAACAGCCTATTCTTTTGATTCTTTGACGTGCACTTAATTTTTCTTTCTTTCCATGATAAACAAAAATTTTTATCTATTTTTTATCAATAATTTGATTTTTTTTTAGTTGACTTACATTGTTCTTTCATCAATCCCTTAAACACTTTTCTTCGGTCGTTCTCTTTATTTCTATTTTCTTTTGGACTAAATTAATATCTCATTTTTTTAATTAGTTGGATCCAACCCTAATCACAGAGATAAACCCAAACAGAACTAATTCCCTTTAGCTGGCTTGGCCTATAATTTAGAACGGTTCAATTTACCTTGACTAAATTTTGTCAAAACCAACTAATTAATAGATATTTTGGTTACCCTAATTGAACACCTTGTCGTTTGCCCTTTAAACTTTGCACTATATTTGCTATGTTTTCTTCAATATAAGGGGCTGTTTGGTTGCACACTTTTTGAGAAAACTTTTCTCAAAACATCTGACAATGACAAATTTGTAACCCCTAGGTCAACGCCGGTCAACGCGTAACCCTAGGTCAACGCCAGTCAACGCGTTGCAACCAGAGTCAATGTTCGACGATTCGAAACCCTAGGGTGAACGCCGGTCAACACGTAACCCTAGGTCAACACCAGTCAACGCGTTGCGACCAAAGTCAACGTTTGACGATTCGAAACCCTAGCAAAATGAGAGGAAATCACCAGAAATCTGACACATACCATATTTAATTAAAAACCTACCAAATCTTGTTATTTTCTATAAAGTTATGAGCTATTTTCTTGTTTTGAACCAAACAAGCAAAGTACAAAAAAAAAAAAGAAAATTGGTACTTTTTGATTTCTCAAAACTTTTCCTATAATTTTTTTAAGAAATGCAAGGAAATCATATTTTAGATGGAAAACATTTTCTATAATTTCTAGAAATTGAACCAAACACCCCCTAATAGTATAGATATTTGATAACACAGTTAGCAAAATATATTAACTCGTGTGTGTTCAGTATAAAAAGATAACATGTTTTAAATTTTTAGTGTTTTTGAGAAAATCTGATTTTTCCTTAGAAAATTGTTAATATTACGTTTACTACTAGAAATGGTTGAATCTTTCTAATTCCAACGAGGTATCTATACACATTGAGATAAATAGTAAATTATTTTTATATATATTTTTGGGAATACGTATACATAAAACCAAAATATCAAATTATGCACTTAGGGGGTGTTTGGTTGCACAATTTTATAGAAAAGTTTTCTCAAAATGGTTGACAATGGCAATTCTATAATTAAAAAATTTCTGTAGATTTCCGTAAACTGTGTTTGGTTTTTAAAAAAAATTATAGAAATGTTTTCTGTAAAGTACAAAAAACTACCAAAATTTATAGAAATCAATTTCTCTCAAAATGGGCGAAAATCACCCAGAAATCTGACACAACTGAGGCACTGACACCACATTGACACTTTTCTATAAAGTTGACACTTTTCTATAAATTTAGGGGTGTTTGGTTCAATCCCTAGGGTCAACGCCGGTCAACGCGTAACCCTAGGTCAATGCCAGTCAACGCGTTGCAACCAGAGTCAATGTTTGACGATTCGAAACCCCAGGGTCAACGCCGGTCAACGCGTAACCCTAGGTTAACGCCAGTCAACGCGTTGCGACCAAAGTCAACCTTTGATGATTCAAAACCCTAGGGTCAACGCCGGTCAACGCGTAACCCTAGGTCAACGCTAGTCAACGCGTTTCAACCAAAGTCAACGTTTGACGATTCGAAACCCTAGGGTCAATGCCGGTCAAAGCGTAACCCTAGGTCAACGCCAGTCAACACGTTGCAACCGAAGTCAACGTTTGACGATTCGAAACCCTAGGGTCAACGCCGGTCAACGCGTAACCCTAGGTCAACGCCAGTCAACGCGTTGCGACAAAAAGTCAACACACGGTGATCCGAAACCCTAAGTCAACACAATGTGACGGAGGTAGTTCAAAGTCAACTCAATGACATGAGCCAAACTCAATTCATCAGCTGCAGACTCGAGGCTCCGACGACGGCCAAGCGATAAACGCAGCGCCGGAAGAACTTCGGCTATTCGTCAAAGCATCGAATAGACCGAAAATCGAAGGAGCCAAGAGTCGAAGCTAACTACAGGTCCTTATGCCGACTGAAGGCTAGACCAATCACATCCAAAGTATTCCAGTCTCTTCTGTAAAAGAAACGAGTCCGGAACGCTTTGGAGGGGGTATCTATAGGCATCGAAAATTGCCTATAGGTCTCCACGAATTGTTCAGTGTTAAAGAGCGACGATGAACGTCACTATCCGATCCACAGGAGTTCAATTGACGTCGATGAACCATTGACACTTTTCTATAAAGTTGACACTTTTCTATAAATTTAGGGGTGTTTGGTTCAATTTCTACAAATGATAGGAAATCTTGCTATTTTCTATAAAGTTATGGGTCATATTCTTGTTTTTAACCAATCAAGCAGAGTAAAAAAAACAAAAAAATTGGTACTCTTTGACTTTTCAAAAATTTTCCTATAATTTTTTTAAAAAATATAAAGAAATCATATTTAGAGTGGAAAATATTTCCTATAATATGTAGAAATTCAACCAAACACCCCCTTAACTAATGGTTTCATACATTTTCTATAGAGCCCCTTGTACATTTTATTTTTAAGGAAATCATTTGAATTTGACCTAGTAAAAATATCCTATCCTCTTACTTTCTTCATTAGTAGTACTAGGTTTTTTCGAGGCATGCTTCATTTTATATGTGACAATCATAGCGCCTTAGTCTTTGCCTGTTGGAGGTCCTACTGGAGAATCACTGAATCAATTAAATCCTAGCTTCAATGTAGGAAGAAGATGATCATTTTATAAATGCAAAATATATCAGTAACTTGAATTTTATTAATTTACTTTTTTAAACTAAACAGATTCAGGTTGGAGTGTTCAGCTCAGATACAAACATACCTTAATCGCTGTTTATGAGCTTGACTTTGGGAAAAGTTTCGTAATTCATCCATCCCAATAGCTGGACATTTTAGTTACAATTTCCTCTAATATTTCATGGTCCCCATTTTCTCGCTAAATCGTTTTCTACAAAGATGCATACCAAGAACTCAAAGCTATAAAATAAGTAGTATGAGGTTCGTACGCTTATAAATATAGAAAATCAAAGAAAATGAAGTTATCATTCTTCCTCATACCAATAGAAACTTCTCCAATTCAAATTATATGTTTTCAGGAAGTTGATTCACATCCGACGAAATCACATTCAGAAATATCATAAGAAGATGACCGAGTAAAAAAGATAGAGGGATTTGAAACATGACTTCAAATATACAATTATCAAAAGTTTTTTTTTCCATAAAACCATTTTAACTTGTATTCAAATTGATACGTATCATCTTTATGCTAGGTTTGGATATATATATATAGGTTTTTTTTTTAAGAGGGGAGGGGAGGAAAGGAGTTGAGAAGATTACAATGATCATTGTAAAATTGTGTTTTGTTTGCATTTTTTTTAGTAAGTGGCGAGAAGGATTAGAAGAGTTAAGAACCCGGCGATGTTCACAAAAAGGACAACGCCCTTCGAGTCTCGTTCATTCTACAGATAATCCAACCATCGGAGCGGATAGAACTCTTCGTCAAGCTTCCAGCGCACTTGGAATCACTCAAATCCGAGTTCGGACGAAGAATTTACGGTGAAAACAATCAAACATACGCAACGGAGCGTCTCAGGCTG